CAAGCCCAGCCTTGCAAGACAAGGAAGGGGAGGGGACCACAGAATGGGGGCACTGGAGTCCATCCCAGCTAGGGGAGAAGGAGGGAGGGACAGGCAGTGACAGAGACAGAGAGAGCACAGTGAGCTGCTCTGTGGCCTGAACCTCAGCTGCTGCTGCAGCCCCGCAATCCATACTCCGCACATGGGCTGAGCTGGGTCCTGACTTAAGTTACAGAGGCCTTGTCATGTCTGTGTCTCTGTGCTGAGGCGAGATGGAGACTTGGGGTGCAGGGAGCCTCCCTGACTCTTCTCACACAACCTCCCAGTGGAATTCAAAGGCAGGTTAGATCTGAGAAATGCTCTCAGGAGGACAGGGTGGAAGGAAGAGCAGCTGGGGCAGCCCCGCCTCGTGCTTCTGCTTCTCTGGGAGGTTTATGTCACAGCGTGTATCACTGTGGGAGGGGAACTTGTATACTGCTGACAGTAATAAGCTGCAGCATCTTCAGGCTGCAGGCTGCTGATGGTGAGAGTGTACTCTCGCCCTGATCCACTGCCGCTGAACCTCGCTGGGACCCCAGACTGCAGGTTGCTTGCAGCATAGATCAGGAGCCTGGGAGCTTGCCCTGGTTTCTGCTGATACCAATTTAAAGCATTGTAAATGTCCTCACTGGCTCTGCAGGTGATGGTGACTCTGTCTCCTGGAGATGCAGACAGGGAGGGAGGAGACTGGGTCATCTGGATGGCGCATCTGGTTCCTGATATGGGAGACAGAAAGGCAAATGTTCACAGGATTGTGTTACAAGAAGGTTTCCATGAAAGCCCCACTGCACTGAACACACTGGCCTCAGCAAATCCCCAGTGCTGCCCTCCTGTACCTGGCAGCCAGAGCAGCAGGAGCCCCAGGAGCTGAGCGGGGACCCTCATGGCCATGCTGTGTCCTCACAGGAATGACTCCTGCCCAGGATGTGAGCTCCTGGTTAAAAAGTGTTGAAGGCAGGGCTGCACCCTGGGGACATGCAAAGCAGCAGGGCTGGGCTGGGCGGGGGCACCGCTGCAGCGCTGGTCACCTCAGGAAGGCAGCACAGGACTGGTGCGTGCTCAATGTCCGTGGTCAGAAGAGTTTGATTGTTTATTCATTTCAGTTTAGTTTTAAGCAAAATAAAATATAGTAAAAGAAAAAAATTAGAAATACAGAATTTCAGTAAAAGATAATAGGAATTCAACAATAGTTCTTATATTGTGTATCATTATCTTCAAATTAAGTTTTCAAGTTTGCAGATAGAAGCATATTCAGTGCATCCAAAAATTACAAAAATTAAAACCAAAGAAGGAAAAATACTAAAGTGTTAACTGCTCCTTTCATTAGAGCACCAGAGATCAGCTACACAGTGAGCCAGGCCATCCTGTGTGTGTGTGTGTGTGTGTGTGTGTGTGTATGCACACGCATGCGGTGTTGTTTCCTCTTCTTGCTTTCGTCTCTCCCTCCCCAACCCCAGGAGTCCCTTCCCTTGAACTGCTTCTCTCCCCTTCACGGTCTCTGCTGTAACTCCCACACTGTATTCACACTTTCAGGCTCTTGCACTCTGTTTCCTCCTGCAAGCATGTTGTTAGAGAAGCACCGGGAGCCCTTAGAAGTTTGAATGGACATGCGATGCACACGAAACAAGGTCTGTCCATTCTCTTTATGACAGTGAGAGTGCATGTCCTTCTTCCTAAGGACCGAATGGTAAAAACCTAACAAGTTGAAAACATTGGGCATTTTTTTAATCCAAAAGTTTATCACTAGCAAAAGAGTTTGAAATTCTCTTCTACCATCTTGGAAAATTTGAAGTTGTCTCATTGCTTTAAATAAAAATGGAATAGCTATTAAAACCATTCTAATGAATTTAAATAGATTTCATAACAGCCTTAAGGGACTCATGAGCAGCATAATGTTCGGAGCTGTGCCCAGACACCTGAGGATAACACAAGCAGCTCCACTTAGTGCATCCTACAGGGTTCTGCCATCACAAAAAAACTCCAGGTCTCTATCACACGTGGAGAACGAGAGGCTCTATCCTATTACAGACCTGCAGCCTCCAACGTTTTGCATCCTGTGTGCCATGCGGAATAATTTCATATTTCATGCATTCAGAACTCAGGTACTTAACCAGATGACTTTAATGAAAATCACCGCAGGTAGTGCAGATCTCTCTCCACAGGACACCACCAGGGCACCCTCTTCTTTCTGTCCTCAGCAGTGAGTGAGAAGCTCAGCATGACACAGGAAGGAGCATCACTCTCAGGTTCTCAAGAAGGGTTCTGTTCTCCTGCTGTTCCTTTGCATATGTGAAGGGACAAA